CAGCAGGAAAAGGGAAATCAACCCCTTCCATCTAACAGCACCCTTAAAAGTTACATATAACATTGCTGCTCAGATCCCATTGGCCAAACTTAGTCATATGGCCATCTTATCTGCAAAGGAAGCTGGGAAATATAATCTTGCTCTTAGTTAAAATTGTAAGGGTTTACTAATAGAGAAAGAAGGAGGAGGAAATAGATGTTACTCTGCCAGAGTTCAACGTCTGTCCACCCCTTACAAGCACATTTAGCACCCCTCAGAGGGAGGAAAGGCAGGGTTCCAAGACACAGCACCAGCCCAGAGCCTAGGACCTCCGAGGGACCAGGTGTGGATGAGGTCCTCATGGTCTAGTGACTTGTAAACCAAAGGCAGGCAATCTGGCCCTCCCATTCCCCATAAACAACAGTGGAGAAAGAACAAGATAAACTCAAAACACCCAAAAAAGGATAAAAAGACTGTAGGTCATATATACATATATACAATAGAATATTACTCAGCAATAAAAAAGAACAAAATCTTACCATTTGCAACACTTAAGTGAAATAAGTCAGAAAAAGACTAATACCATATGATTCCTCTTAATGTGGAATCTAAAGAACACTATAAATGAACAAACAAAACAGAAACAGACTCAGAGATACAGAAAAAAGACTGATGGTTACCAGAAGGGAGGAAGGTTGGGGAACTGGGTGAAAAGGTGAAGAGATTGAGAAGTACAGATTGGTAGCTACAAAATAATCATGGGGATATAAAGTACAGCATAGGAAATATAGTCAATTATCTATCTATCTATCTATCTATCTATCTATCTATCTATCTATCTATCTATAAAAGGCTAGATGACCATCTGACTGGCTGGCCATCTGACCAGTCGGTACATATAATGCACACTGACCACCAGGGGGCAGACGCTCGACACAGGAACTGCCAAGCTGTGGTGACTTGGCAGCAGCGGTTCTTGGGTGATGCACCCCAGAACCAGAGAGGAAGGAGCCTGATTCCTCATGGGGACCATGTGTTCCACCTTCGGCTGTAGGTTATGTTGTTGCTGGGGCACTGTCAGTCCTGAATCTGGTTTACTGCTGAGCTGTGGTAATTAATTTCCTTTCAATGTGCACGAATCCGAGCACCGGGCCACTAGTAATGCAATAACTAGGTATGGTGCCAGTTGGGTACCTGAAATATCAGGGGGGATACTTTGTAAATTATATGATTGTCTAACTACTTTGCTATACACATGAAACTAATTCGAAGTAATACTGAATGTAAACGGTAATTGGAAAAAATTCTAATTATAATAACAAACAAATACATCCACTCAACAAGAAAGAACAGCAAACACCCAGCAGCCACTGGATCTTAACGTTACTAAATCCAGTCGGATGCCGAAACCGGCTTGGCTCAGTGGATAGAGCGTCGGCCTGCAGACTGAGGGGTCCCGGGTTCGATTCCGGTCAGGGGCATGTGCCTGGGTTGCGGGCACATCCCCAGTGGGAGGTGTGCAGGAGGCGGCTGATCGATGTCTCTCTCTCATCGATGTTTCTAGCTCTCTATCTCTCTCCCTTCCTCTCTGTAAAAAATCAATAAAATATATTTTTTTTAAAAAATCCAGTCGGGTAGGAACTGCAAAGCTGCCTCCTAGCCATGGAGTAAGTTGGGCAGTGCCTCTGGCCGCTCCGCTTCTGCTGTCTGGGAGGAGTTTCCCTGTCTACTCTCCCCTGTGGCCTCTGGCATTACCTCCTGGGAAGTTTTCTTTACCCAAGATCCTCTGCAGCTGCATCAAAGAACATATCTGCCTTCTTGCAGACCTTACAACTTTTACAGCCCTCCTCCTGCTGGTGCAGATTTGGGGGAGTGGGAATAACTGGGGGTGGGAGTGTCAAACCAGGGTTTGCTGACCAGATTGTGGTTTCTTTGTGAAAACAATATCTTTAAAATCTTAGAAGTCTTCTGACTGGTTCCATATTTGAGTAACCACAGCCAATGAGCTCATATAGAGATAACTTTTATGCTTGAATACGCTGGACTTGGTGTACTTCCTAATCTTTCTCTCACTGCTGGTGGCTATCTTGAGGCCAGCTGAAACAAATATACTTGGCTCTGAAGGGGACTTCCTTATTCTGTCCACTGAGCCGGCTTGCACTGTTTGCTGAACAGGGTGAGCTTGAGAAAGATTTGGGACCACAGATACAGCCCTTGCTAGGCCTGCCTGCTCCAAACTACCTCTTAGAACTAGCCTGGGTGCATCTGTCTTGTAGGACTTTGCTTGTAGCAGCAAGCAGCAGCCAACAACAATCTCAGTGTTTCCGCTCAGTTTCCATGAGTGTTTACATATGCTTTACCTTTCAAGGGATCATAGATGACAGACATGTCCTATGTTTTGCTGTAACATAACAATGGTCACCAGCTTACGTGCATACAATATTTTTCTTTGCTTTCTTCTGTCCATTCTCTAAACCAATGACAATTGTCTTAGGCTTTTAAAGCAGTGCTGCTTCCAGATACCAAATTTTGCATTAGTTAATGTACATGTTTGGTTGTTGTAACAAAGATCCTTTTTATTTATTTATTTTTTTAAGTGTGGGGAACCCCTAGGACTGGGCCCCCAGGAGTTCTTTTTCATTTTTAAAAAATATATTTTATTGATTTTTTACAGAGAGGAAGGGAGAGGGATAGAGAGTTAGAAACATCGATGAGAGAGAAACATCAATCAGTTACCTCCTGCACATCTCCTTCTGGGGATGTGCCCACAACCAAGGTACATGCCCTTGACCGGAATCGAACCTGGGACCTTTCAGTCCACAGGCTGACGCTCTATCCACTGAGCCAAACCGGTTAGGGCTTCATTTTTATTTTAATTGATTTCAAAGAGGAAAGGAGAGGTAAAGAGAGATAGAAACATTAATGATGAGAGAGAATCATTGATCGGTTGCCTCCTTCATGTCTCCTACTGGGGACTGAGCCTTCAACCGGGCATGTGCCCTTGACTGGAATTAAACCCAGGACCCTTCGGTCTGCAGGCCAACACTCTATCCACTGAGCCAAACTGGCTAGGGCTCAAAGACCCCAATTCAAATGACTTAAGAAAGTTTATATTTCTCTTTTATAAGAGTGTATAGACAATCCAAACCTGGTAGGGTGACTCTGAAACCCTTAATAAACATCTTTCATCATTGGTATAAGATAGCTGTTCTAGCTCCTGCCATCACATTAGCCAGTCGGCAGAGGGTGAAAAGGAGAACTCATGTTTCTTTCTTTTAAGGCCTGACCTGGAAGTTGCTCACATCACTTCCACTCATATATGTCATTGGCAAAATTTAGCCACAAGGCCATATTTAGCTGCAAGATAGATGGGAACTTGTGTTTATAACAGGCAGCCATTCCCACTAAAATTCAAGTGATTCTATTACTAAAGGAAGAAGAGGAAAATAGATTTTGGGAGGTAACTGGTAGTCTCTGCCACCTAATGTTTTTATCTTCATTTTACATTCGTGGAAACAGGTGGGAAGAAAGTGAGCAATGCTTGCCAAGGTCATATGGCCAGCCAAGGGCAGAGCATAAATTTTCATCAGGTCTGCCTGACCCCCAAACAGGCTTTGCATCACATCCAGCCAACAAATTTGATCATCAAGGTGCCCACTGTTTACTTAGAGATAAAAGATATTTGCATGTGATTCATTATGTAAATGCCAGTCCAGTGCATGCTGAAATGCGTCCAAAGAACATTCACTGTCAGACCATTGCAGTGAGGGTGATGCAATCAGGGAAGACTGAAAAGGAGCCTACTGGCCCTGTAGGTAAACCATATCTGAGGTGGAGGAACCACAGAGTATTGCAAGAGAAGGTGATGGGGTGAGCTGATGTGTATCTGGTTTGTCTGTGAGGGTGGCCTGGGGAGCAAAAGGGGGTGGGGGTTTTCCAAGTCTGATGCATCGGATACCTCCAGGGATGGTCCTCTTGATCTTTCTATCATTTGAGGTGCCCCATTAGCTGTGCCTTAGAAGTTCCATCATCTGACAGGGATCCTGTGGAAGGAGAGCTGCGCTCACCCCTGCACTATCCAAGACACATGGATGGGCACAGTCTCTTCCCTGCTGTGTTCTTCCCCACCCCCATCCTTAGGCAGGACGAGGGCTTTGAGGGAGGATGGAAAATATATTCAATGAATTCAGCAAGAAATCCAGTAATCCATTACCAAGTGTCCACTCCAGGGCCAGAGACTAAGATGGAAGAGACTGAAAGAAAAAGAGGAAGGGGAGGGGCAGAGAGAGAGGACCTAGAGCAGCTGGGTCAGC